AATGCACGGTCCAAGAATTCATTCCCTGAAGAAGTCCGCTAGTTTGAGGACGAAACGTCGGGAAAACTTGCTAAGAAGTACAGATGATGGGTGAGAAACCTTCCTTTGCTTTGACTAATCCCTGTACGACTGAGGGCTTACACAAACTTAATATGAACCAATTTATTTTACACTGAAATAACAACAAATATCATTGTTATAAATGTAACCACACTTCTGAAATGTAAATGTTCTGTTCCAGCACACATGATTACTCATTGCTCCAACACATAGATAAGGATATGTTCAAGATTCAAAATAGTAAGAATTATTGTTGGAAATATAAATATAATATTTATAATTTTTTTATCTTGGTGTATTAACATTTTATGTGCAAAATGAGCACACGTTGGAAAATAACAGTATAAATATTAGGCCAGAGTGACCTGCGGCTTCATTTCAGAGTGACACGATCTCAAGGTTTTGTCATTAATCTGTCTCTCGTATCAAGTCTGTCTCAGTATTCGCTTGAGCAGCTTTCCTTCCCACAGCGTGACAGCGTTATTTTGTCACTACTTTCCAATATCCGTTACATCGAATATAGTTTTCCACAATTGATCTCCCCATTCGTCTGATGTGCTGAACAGTGTGGGACTGACCGCTGCAATGACCCAACGTGACCCGGAACATAGAGATCTGCTGTGCTATTACAGCCCTGCACGAGCTTGGTTGACCTTATGTCTTATTTTGCTTAAAATCTGAAAAGACAAACATAATTGGCACTCTCAGTTTATGAGAGCCAGGGACTGCATGGCTGAGGTCCTGACCTGCAGTTTGGGCCCCCCAGGGGGCCGTCCTCATGACATTCCTCTTCACTCTCTTTCAAACATGACATGGACGGTTGTGTCCTACAGAAGTTCTCTGATGACTCTGCCATCATCAGACTCATCACTGAGGACGACAACGCAGAGTACAAAGGAGTCATACAGGACTTTGTGAATTGGTGTCAGCAGAACTCCAGCCGCTATTTTGTGCTTAGAATCCAAGATGAAAGTGGTGAGGACTGCAAACGATAATTATTACTATATTTAGCCCTTTTTGCTCAAATCTTCACATACCCATTTGGTTCCCAGGTCGCAGCGCATTCATAGGTGTTGGATTCGGAGATCGAGGAGATGCCTTTGACTTCAATGTCGCACTTCAAGACCATTTCAAGTGGGTGTTCTTTTTATATTCTAACTTCATTTCTATGATCATATTATATATATATATTTTGTTATTTTTTTTACAGATGGGTCAAACAGGACATTGAGTTGTCAAAACAGGCACAGGCTCCAGACACGACTCCTAAACTGGATTTGGGATTTAAAGAAAGCCAGACAATAACTTTGAATATTGGGGTAACGGTTTTCCCTTAATAGTTAAAGTAACATCCTCCTTTTCCTGTTTTAAGGGTAATTAATGACAACTTATTAACGTGTTAACTCATGAATTATGATTGGGCTCTTAGCATTTGGTGACACTAAAGATTATGGTTGTGGGCCCAAATGAAAATAACATATGAACAATTGAGTGGTTTTCGGTGGATTGGGCCCAATGATTTATCAGGTTATCAGGAGCAAAATATTTAAAGAGGCTTAAGAAAATGGAAAGAAGAAATAGGGAGAATGAGGGAAAAAATCTTCAGTGTTCGCACAGCCCTTGACACAACCCGAGGGTCCAGTGTTTTTCTGCCTCCTGGGGAAATGTTTAGCCAAATCTAAGCCAGATCTGAAACAGGGATTTTCTTTAGAGCTAAATGAGGTCTAATTCAAATAGGACACAGTAGTTGTAAATGAGAAAGAACACATACGAGTTTTGATTATCTACATGTTTATGACCATCATTTCAGCAATCCAAGAAGAAGGATCGATCTCGTCCACAGAGCTCTGGTGGTCTGGGGCTGCTCCCACCGCCGCCTGGAGGAAAACTGGCCCCGCCCCCATCTTCAAGAAACACTAATCACAACACACAGCCGGCGACTACAGGAAGTGATGCAGGTACAAGTTTTTCTATCAAGACTCCACTCAGAACTATTGCACTGTACTGACTTTACCCCAATAGGCCTATTTCACGGTTGACGTCACAATGCGGAAGTAAATGAAATGTCGGGTATGACGACTTCCGGTTGCTAGCGGATCCTGTTCAATCTCCAAAATAATGGCTCAATCTAGCTGGAAATGTTGGTGTAGTGTACCTTTTTGTAAAGCTAACAAACAGCATCAGCCGTATCTTAGTTTTCACGAATTTCCAACCGAGAAAGTGACTCGATCGGCCTGGGTGAGAGCGATTCGTAGAGATTTGGGTGCTACCTTTTCAGTGCTTCGTGGCAGTAGCTACGTGTATAGCCTTCATTTTCAGGCTGACGATATTTACACCACTCCCAAGGGTCGTCGACGTTTAAAGAAAGGTGTAATACCATCCAAATTTGCTTGGAACAACTTTAATCCCCCTCATCGCCAGTCAGTGTATGAGAGAGCCAGCGAAAGGCTGGGGGTCGATCTCCGTGAGGAGGAAGACACTGTGGTAACAGCTGAGAGCGAGGGAGCTGCCTGTGCTGACCACGACTATACTACTCCCCCCACGCCCGGTAGGTACATTTTAGGTTACGTTTATGTATGGGGCGGCACGGTGGCTGAGTGGATAGCACTCTCGCCTCTCAGCAAGAAGGTCCTGGGTTCGAATCCCGGTCGGACCAGGGCCTTTCTGAGTGGAGTTTGCATGTTCTCCCCGTGTCTGCGTAGGTTTCCTCCGGGTGCTCCGGTTTCCCCTACCACTAAAAATATGTCCAATAGTTCTGGCATGCGCCTCCTGTACTGGCCCCGCTCCCATCTCTGTGTGGAGTGAGAGACAAATGCCCAAAATTAACAATTGTAAACCGCTTTGAGACTCAGATCTGCAGTGAAAAGGCGGTATATAAATAAAAACTTACTTACTTACTTACTATGTATGTAATCTCTTATAAATGTATTCCTTAGAAGTGCTTTTAATTTTTTATTATGCCTTCTCTAGTCTTTACCTCTCTTTCTGACTGTTGCACTGAGCCAAAGCAATCTCCAAGTCTGTAACTTCCTGTTTCTTACGTGGCAATAAAAATGATTCTAACATACAGCTGCTAATGTACAGATGCTATCATATAACTACACTTTGCTTGCACTAGAATACACAGTACTTTATACTTGCCTCTTATTTAGGCAAATGTAAAACTTTTACCCTTCTTTTTATTAGAGATTTTATACTTGTTATTTGATGCCAGAGTTAGAGATTTTGCTTTATTTTTTAATTAGTAAAGCTATTGTTCACTAATCCTGTGCTGTGTGCTCCTCTTTCCTACTGTTCTATAACTTGTGATTCAACACTGAAATTTCTCCACTGGGACGAATAAAGGATCTCTTCATCTTAATAGTTATTGCCATAGCTAAACATTACTTTTTTCATTAGCTGTGTGTGTGCCTGTGTGTCACAATTTCTATGAAAAGAGCTATATAAATAAAGTTTTATATATTTTATGATTTTCTCCTCACTTAAATCTGATTGTACTTGTTTTTTCTAAGGATTCATTGATGCACTGGCAGAAGAAAATCAGAGGCTGGAGTCGCAACTGCAGCAACTACAATTACAACTGACAGAGATGACCTTACAACTAAAGCAACCTAAGTGCCACCGCTTTTGTGCCTCTGACAGCGATTTCCGTTTCTACACCCGATTCCCATCGGAGGAGGTCTTCATAGCGTTTTGGGAAACTCTGCAGCCATCTGCTTCTAGGATGGTCTACTGGACAAGGGCACAGAGCATGGCACAGGGTCCTGCCCTTCAACGCAAACTCCCTCTGATAAATGAATGTTTTCTTTTCCTTTGTTGCATTGCTGCAGGACTGAAAGAAAAAGTACTGGCATCTATCTTTGACATCAGTGTCTCGACAGTGAGTCGTGTTGTCATCACTTGGGCAAACTACCTGTTTCAAGTTCTTGGGGCAGAGCCAGTTTTTATGACGAGAGCACAGGTACAAGCTACAATGCCAGACAAATTTCGCCAGTACTGCCCCAATGTGCGTGTGATTGTGGACTGTACTGAAGTGCGTTGTGAGATACCAGCCTCCCTTACCTTACAATCGGAAACATTTTCGACCTATAAAAACAACAACACTTTCAAGGGCTTGATTGGTATCGCTCCCTGTGGAGTTGTTACATTTGTGTCAATGCTGTACACTGGCTCAATTTAGGACAAAGAAATTACTATGAGATGTGGTCTATTGCAACTGCTCTCCTATGGAGATGGAGTCATGGCTGACAAGGGTTTTGTCATTGAGGAAGAGTTGTCACAAATTGGTGCACACTTAATCATTCCACCTTTCAAAACCACATCCCAACTCTCTGTTGCTGATGCCCATAAAACCCAAGCAATTGCTCGTCTCAGAGTGCTCGTGGAGAGGGCAATACGCAGAGTGAAGGAGTACCATATCTGGGATAGCGTTGTGCCCCTCTCCTTGACTGGCACCATCAACCAGCTTTGGGCAGTTTGTTGCTTGCTAACACACTACCAAGGACCTTTGGATATTAAACATGACAAGCCAGTGTAATGTTCTATACTTATATAATTTTAAATGTTTTTTGTTTTGTCTAACTTTGGCAATCAAGAATAACATGTATTTTACACCACTGTAGTTAGATTTAAACTTCAGTTGATCAGCATCGCAATAGTAAGTGGAAGGATTTAAAAAGTTAATTGTTTTAGGTAATCCATGTTCTCTATGTATCTTGAATCTCTTTGAATCTGATCTGCATGTCACCATCTGTATTGTCTGTTGATTCATACTTTCATTGCGTCTTGTTTTGTATGTTAAGATTTTCTTAAAAAAAAAAAAAAAGCATGAATTAAATGAAATGTAAATATACTCGTGCAACAGAACTTTGAGTTTACTGTATTTGACTTTAATCGATTGCCGGAACCACACTCTGAAATGTGCACTTTGATAGAGAAGTTCAACCAGATGGTTGCACAAAATCTTTCCTGAAGCACAGGAACAACTGGTGGACATCACCTTCACAGGAACCTCTCCAGATTTCAGGTTTATCTGTAATTAAAAAACACATCAGTCACAATGTTGCCATTAGCAGGCGCACACAGAACATGTAGAATGACAACAGACAATAACGCAGAGGAGAAAACAGAACTCGCTGCAACAGCAGCAACTTTATCAACTGAATGAGAACAAACTGCAACGGCAGTAAATAGCAGTGTTTCAAAGTAAACCTGTAGGTTATGTGGCACCTCACGCTTCCTCATAGACCTGTAGCATCTTGCCCGAACTTCCACTTCTCCTCCTACCCTAACCCTCAATATGAGAGTGAGGAGTTGTCGTCATAGCACAGAGCCCCTCCCCGTCTCCGCCATGTTGGTAGGATCCCAGCGGCAAACACTTGTTGTTGTTAACTCGGTAGCAAAGGAGGTCGTCGCTATTTCTGTTTTACCATGCCTGGAGCTCATTGCTGTGTGAAAAACTGCTCCAGTACCTCACACTATAAGAAAGGAAAACGTAGGAACAACGGTTTACAATTGTTTAGGCTACCAAAATGGATACAACATCAGGGAGCGCAAGTGTCTGACCCGACGAAGAGACGCCGGATGGCTTGGTTGGCTGCAATAATAATAATAATAATAATAATAATAATAGATTTTATTTATAACGCACCTTTCATATGCAGAGCACATCTCAAGGTGCTACATCAGAATAAAAACACATATATACAAATGTTAAAATACATTAAAACATGGGCTGCAGATCAGCAGTAGGCCTTCCTGAATAGCTCCGTTTTCAGGTGCTTTTTGAAGCACTCCACAGACTGTGGCACCCGCAGGTCTTGGGGCAGGGCGTTCCACAGGCGTGGTGATGCGGCTGAAAAAGTCCTGTCTCCCATGGAGTGAAGGCGTGTGATTGGCTGACTGAGACGGTGGGTGTTTGTGGACCGGAGGGATCGTGATGTGGACTGTAGGGTGAGGAGGTCTTGTAAGTACTCTGGGGCGTTGCTGTGGATGCATTGGTGAGTGAGAAGACAGATCTTATATTCAATACGGAGGTGTATGGGGAGCCAGTGGAGTTTACGGAGGACGGGGGTGATGTGCTCGAACTTGCGTGTCCTCGTCAGGACCCTGGCAGCACTGTTCTGAATATGCTGAAGCTTTTGAAGGCTTCTGCCAGGGATCCCGACGAGGAGGGCATTGCAATAGTCCAACCTGGAGGAGACAAAGGGGTGGACCAGCTTCTCAGCATCACAGAGGGAAAGAGAGGGGCGGAGTTTGGCAATGTTTCTTAAGTGAAAGTAAGCAGTTTTGGAGATATGTTGGATGTGTGGATGAAAAGTGAGGTGGGAGTCAAACCTGACGCCGAGGTTTGTAACACAGAAGGAGGGGGTGATGGTATGACCAGAGAAATTAATGCAGTTTACAGACAGGGAACGAAGTTGGTGGGGGGTGCCAATTTGTAGAGCCTCTGTTTTAGTGCTGTTTAGCTGGAGAAAGTTTTGAGACATCCACGCCTCTATCTCCTCCAGGCAGGAGGTAAGTGCAGCGGGGGCGGATGAGGGAGAGGCTGGGTCCAGTCTCACATAGAGCTGAGTGTCATCGGCATAGCTGTGGAAGGACATGCCATGCCTGCCGATGACGTGGCAATGACAATAAGAAGAAAGGACCTTACTTTGGATCTCACCCCCCAGTCGATGAGAGTGTGTTCTCTGCATTTTCACTCGGGTACGTCCTAAAATGTCTTTATGTTGTTTTTTTTAAAGTTAAGAAGTGTAGGTTACCTAGCTGTTAATGTTGCAAACTCTGAAGTGCATCTTAAGTTAGCTGCCTAGCTTACTATCTAACAAACTGTTGCCTCTATGAAAATGCTTAATGGCCAACCATTAATGCTAACTAAGAATATTTAAGTTTCTGCTCATTATCCTACCTTGTTGGTGGAATATGGGCACTCAAAGTGCGTTTGTCTCTGTCTCTTATGTTCTCTAAACCAGTGGTGCCCATACTTTTTTTTTGTCTTGTGTTGCCACTACCCCCTGAGCCCTTTTATGAAACCATGAATAGCGTTACCTTCTTGTTTAATATTTCTTTAGATTCCAGATTGTTGAATAATCTTATTAATCTGATGTAAGTAAACCATTATATGAGATTGCTAAAAATAGTTGAGATTCTGTTCATGACATTATGCTACCTTGTGGCCAGTTTAAAGCATTGACTACATAGATTATTCTGTTCTAGATAAACCATCATATGAGATGTTGGAGAATCACCCTGACTGGACACCATCCTTGCGGTTAGGCCACAATAATGTTAAAGAAACAGATGGAGCGCGATATCAGCGGCAAGTAAAGCGCAGGACCCAGCATCTGGAGCAGTCATCACTCCCAGCCCAAGCCCAGCAGCCTCCATCGCCAGCCCAAGCCCAGCAGCCTCCATCGCCAGCCCAAGCCCAGCAGCCCCCATCGCCAGCCCAAGCCCAGCAGCCTCCATCGCCAGCCCAAGCCCAGCAGCCTCCATCGCCAGCCCAAGCCCAGCAGCCCCCATCGCCGGCCCAGCAGCTGGCTCAAGGAAGGATGAGGAAGCTCTCACCCTTCCAGCTTGTCCTATTGACTGTAATGCGCCTCAGATTAGACCTTCCATCTCAGAATTCACGTTGAGAGGGTGATTGGTGTTGTGCGCAACAAATTCAAATTCTTACATTCAACTGTACCTGTGCATATGCTTCTCAAATGTGAGGGTGAAAACCTAATGCCTTTAGATAAGATTGTCACTGTTTGCTGTGCCTTAACGAACATGTGCAAAAGTGTTGTTTGAGTGCCTTGTTCATAACTTATGAACCAACCAGAACCCCTCATGTCATCTGGATCCGAGTCCAGAGGCAGAACCAGACACGGAGAAGCTGCATTCAGCTTCTATGCTCCACATGTCTGGAACAAACTCCCAGAAAGCCTCAGATCAGCTGAAACACTCAGTTTGTTTACATCCAGGTTAAAGACCCACCTGTTCTCAGCTGCTTTTGAATATGTTTTATTCTAATGTACAAATCTGCACGGCTTCTTTTAAGCTGGAATTACTTGTCTGTTATCTTTTTCTTATGAATTTTTGTTTTTAATTTTAAATCATGCTTTTTATTCTGTTACTTTTTAATGCTTCTTCTGCACCCAGCTGTAATGCTTCTTAATTTTTTATTTAAAGTACTTTGAATTGTTTTGTAACATGAATTGTGCTGTACAAAAAAACTTGCCTTGCCTTTTTAATTTCTTTGAAATAAATGTTTGAAACAACTTCATGTGGCAAAGCAATATTTATTGAGAAAATAACATTTTTTTGGAGGGGGGGTGTAATCTCTTGGAAAAGTTAACAGTGCAAAAGAACATGTGCAGTCAACGTATAAATATTTCAGCATGAAAAGACGGACAACATAATAATAAAATAGTAACACTGCTGTTAGTGCAAGTACAACAGTGTTTTCACCGCCTGGAGGCTTGTAGATGGCCAAGTCCTGCACCCAACCACAGCAGAAAGCCTCGTAACTCTCCAGTGACTTGTGACTTCTAAACGTGCACGGAGGCAAAAAGTCAAGGTATTTTTGCCACTCCGCTGCAGGAAGCTCGTATGGGTCTAGCTTACCTGTTGTATGTCTGAGAGCTTCTCCAAATAACGTTGTTTTGCTTTTCCCTGTACGGTCCATTTCCTTTCGCCTTCACTTTCTCCATTAACTGTCTTGCTAGTGTTGTAATCGTAGATGTATCTACTGCCAAATTAATAAACGGCCGCTCAAGTTAAAGACCTCTGGAGCGTTAGCATAGACTGTAGCTATATATTGAGCGTTAGTGGCGTTGCCCCTGGCAACCGATAGAGGATCCTATCAACATGGCCGACCGGATTAGACCCCGCCCAAATTATCACGTGACTCCTCATTCTCAATTCCTGACACTACATATACATATAATACACAATAAAACACAAAATATTAAACAAATATAATTTCTTTATATATTTCATAAATAGTAGAATGATAAGTGAAACTTTTAACAAAATTTGAAACATGAAAGTGATCAACAATATACATACTATATATTTCAAATCTAACTACATATTTTGTATGATGCTCATGCTGACAGTATAGCATTATCAAACTGTGTATTTTCACTGCTCCATTACATAGTATGTAAATCCACCCGTAAATCATGGCTCCATCATCCATCATGCTTCTCCGTTACCTTAATGCTTGTTGGTAAAAACAATTACAAGAAGGGCCTGTTAGTTAGTTCAACTATTTGTTTACTCTTATTTAGCTCATTCCTAGTGTAAATGAACTAAGGCTAATTAAAACACCATTTAATACAGCACTGAGCACAAATCCGTCAGACAAATGGTGACTTACCTTCATAGTTGAACACATATTTTTCCACAAACAACTTGTAGCCCTTTTCCAATTTTGAACATGTTGTTAGTGACAACTCAGATGCTATCCGTATCACGTCCCCCATTGTCATTTTCGGCAAATTCCGCAAGGATTTTGAGAAATTGGTCGCGCTGGCCGAATCCATTCTTGTCGTCCTTTACAGAAACAGCGCACCGGAAGTCGTCATACCCGACATTTCATTTACTTCCGCATTGTGACGTCAACCGTGAAATAGGCCAATAGATGGTTCTTTGATGACGTCACGCATGCACTACCCACAATTCCGCATTGCGCCATCTTGATGGGCAAGCCCTGCTAGTTGTAGCATACAGTCCATGGTTGTAGCTAAACAAACCATATCACATCCCTTTTATTTGCTCTATAACATGCCGACTACCTGTATCGTTTGGGGGTGCACTAACCGTGCAGGTTGTGGGGACGTAAAGAGAGGTTTTTTCAACCTTCCGAAGGTAATTACGAGCCAGGGGAGCGAGACAGAGCGACTCTCGAGGGAGAGAAGAACCCTTTGGCTGGCTAGGATCAACAGAGAGGGATTCAACCCTGACCCTAAAAAACGGCACTACAAGGTCTGTTCTGACCATTTCATAACAGGTAAGAGCTAGCTAAACCTGTGCATGTGTGGTTTATATTCAGAGCTGCGATTTGACTCATACCATGTGCGCCTCAAGGAATCCCCTCTAAATGAATGAGAGGAGGAGGAGGAGGAAAGGGTGGTAGACAGAAGCTTGTATGGCCGTGGGTCAGTGATTTACGGACTGTGACATGACTGCTTCGTTCAAAATAAATTAATGATTGAAAGAAATATTGCATTATATACATCATGACCTTTTGTAATTGTGAAACTGTTGGGTAAAAGTAAGTCTGGTGTGTGCCATGTTTGGATTACAAAATAACACCAACAACTTGATCAAGGTTCAGTCATCTGATATCTGTGGTAAAATGTAAACAAACACAGCACATACATACTTATGACAAAATATTGTCTATATAATTCTGTTACAATCCTACAAATGTAAATATTATATACATGACTTTCAAAATGTAATGCTGTCTTGAGTCATATACCAAATATATGAATGAAATATATTAACTTATTTAAGATAATTATTTATTTTTATTTGCAGGGAAGTGAGCTGAGTTGTACCACTCGTCAAATCCAGATTGGGCACCTTCATTGAAAATGGGACCAGTTTCAACGTCTCCCACAAAGACACGGTCCAGTCAAAAGCGGTTTGAGAGGGCAAAAGGAAGAACGGAAAAGAGGAAGCGTAGTGAAGCGGCGGCTGCACTACTCAGTCTGCAGAAGCAGGATACGCCGGTGACTGATGAGGTGACTACTTCAGACACTGGTGAGGCAAATGACAGTGAGACGGATGTCGCTACTGCATCATCGGAACAGTCAACAGATCCTCAACCAGACGACACGTTACTCATGAAGCAAATGAGGGAGGAGCTTCAGCGGCTGACGACGGAAACCATGTTACTGAAGGAGAAACTGAAAGGAATGGTTTTGACTCCGGACACGCTGAGGGGTAATGACGCTAAAGTAAAGCATTACACGGGTGTTACCTACGACATTCTCATGACCCTGTATAGATTTGTAGAGGCGAGTATACCTCATTCAGCATCAAGTAGACTGACAAAATTTGAAAAGCTGATGATGGTATTGATGAAGTTGCGACTAAACCTCAGCCAGCAGGACTTGGGCGACAGGTTCAAGGTTTCCACGAGTTGTGTCTCGAATGTGTTCCTGGGTGTGGTGCATGTCCTGTTCATCAGAATGAGGGGCTTCATTCTCTGGCCAGACCGAGAGGACCTCCAGATGTCCATGCCGATGGAGTTTAGGAAGAACTTCGGTGTGAAGGTGTCAATAATTATTGACTGCTTTGAAATCTTCATAGAGAGGCCCTCCAACTACTTGGCTCGAGCAGAGATGTGGTCGAATTACAAGCACCACAATACTGTGAAGTATCTCATGGGCATCACACCTCAGGGAGCCGTCTCTTTTTTTGTTAAAAGGATGGGGTGGCCGAGCCAGTGACAAGCATGTGACTGAAAACTGTGGCCTGCTGTCCAAACTGCTGCCTGGAGACATCGTTCTCGCAGACCGAGGCTTCGACATAAAAGAGTGTGGGACTGCACTGCGCAGAAGTGAAGATACCATCTTTCACAAGAGGAAAGCAACAGTTATCCCCCCTTGAGATTGAAGCAACAAGAAACATAGCCCACAGCAGAATCCATGTGGAACGAGTACACAATTTTGCAACACACCATTCCTATTGACTACTTACACTGCCCTGCGGGTTGTGTACCAACGTTGGACAAAATTGTCACAGTGTGTTGTGCACTGTCCAATTTGTGTGGCTCGGTTGTGCCATTTGACTGAAAGTTGTTAGAGGAATAAAAGAAAAAAAACCGTGATGAGACCCCATCAATAAAACACATTTATTCTGTTATATTTTGTTTTTCATTTATCTTACACCCTCACATTTGCAGGTTACTTACACATGAGCCCATGCACAGTAAAGTCTAGTGTGGATAAAATAAGTTAACATGAGTAACATTTAATAAATGTACTATATGAAAGTGTCACTTTGTTTCTACTCTTTAGAAAGGATCAGGTCTGTTACATATAGGAAACTTGACTAATGGATAAAACAATTATGTTCTAGCAACCTCTAATGGACAGAGGAGGTATTTGGACACATTCAAAACATGATATCTTCTGATTAAAATCTAGTTTATACATGGCTCAACTTGTGCTTTTTTGTTGACTTGTGATATTTCCACCAAAAGAGTTATGTCAATGAATATGTTAAGTTTAATATAATATGTTAAGTGCCAATATCAAATAAATCCCCATGAACAAAATAGTTTTCTGTGAATTGCTTTATTTTGGAGTGTCTTTTTCACAGAATCCTTTAGAACATACCACAATCTGTGGATCAAATTCCATCATCTGTCATAGTAATATTTTCAAATATGCTCTCACAATGACGTAGCAGTGGTTCACTTGGGGTCGTGGCAAAAGTTTCATCGTAAAGCCCGGACAAAGGAGTTGGATACTTCTTGTCTAGTGCTTCAGGACGAAAATATTTCGAATAGCCTGGAACCAATTGTTTTATACTGGACCTAAAAATAACAAACAAGAAAACAGAAATTAGGACAGTTTACATAGTTTACATGTATTTAGGATTCGAAGTTACCTAAAATAGTCAAATAGTCAAAGTCATTATTCTTTTAATCCTAACATTTGAATATTATATATATCACATACATACATATGTATGTACATATGTGTGTATATATACACACACATACACACACACACACATACACACACATATATTAATACAAGACTTGAAGTGCATGACATTAAATTTACCTTCTGTAGAGCTGCAGGTAACAACCAGTAGGCCTTTTCCTGGGTCACAGTTCGTCTTTTCCTTATATCTGTCGCACTGTCCAGAGCAAAAAGGATGGCACCGACGTGGGAACACACCTCTCCAAGACCAGCCATACAGGTACAATGTGCAGACAGAACCACCCCGTCTCGCTCGGTGATTACCCAGGGTAGGAGGCAAGGGTCATTCATCCGTTGCGAGTGTTTTATCCTAGCCATCAAAACACTCTTGTCGTTGATGATAGCATGTCTCACCTCCTGCACCCAACCACACACCAGGTAATTGAACGATTCCATCGTCTTCATTGCCTTCAGTTCCTTCAGGGTGTACGGACTTCGTGTGTGTAGGCAGTAATTCACAATGTCTGCGTATGTTACCGCAGGCCAGGAGTCCATTTCTGGTGAAGTCCACTGGTCTCGCCGCATTTCGTATGGATCCAAATCTCCGATCACTCTCAATTTCTCCAAATATCTTTCCTTAGAAATTACGTCCAGTGTATCACTATACTTCACGCGGTCAGAGTCGGCCGATTTCGTGGCTTTAGAAGACATTGTGAGAATGATCCGTGGCAAATGAACTGTGAGAAATGATCCGTGCTATATAATCTAGACAGACAACATGGCGGCCGCGCAAAGCATCATGGGTAATAAACACGTGATCGAAAACCATTTATAGAATCTTTTTTTCCGTATCCAGATTCCTACACTTGAAAAAATCACAACCAGACTCGTGCACTTATTGTAATTAATTTCAAGGAATCATATATTCGTTCTACGTCATGGTGCTACGTCCCTTAGGACTTCGCTAGTGGGATATCACTCGTGACCCCCAGGTCACACGCCAGAGAGATCAAAATAATTTGCTCCAATCACCAGCCACCCTCCTCTATAAATGCCCCTGCACAAGGCCGCACCCCCTCTTTTCCCTCTGGCGCCGTTTGAGATCTACCACAGTACTTACTTCATTCTGAGATGTCTTCCTTGTTTGTCCGAGTTCCCTTCGCCCTCCGGCGTCGGACGTCGTCGCTGGATCCAGACGGTGGAGGACTTCACCTCTGTGGGTCCCACCACTCGAGGAAGGAGGAGGATGCAACCCACGTTGTGCCCGCGGATGGACCCGTTCGTCCATTACGCGACACGTGAGTGGCCTAAGCCCCTAGCAGCCAAGAGGCCTGCTCTGGGGTACGACATATACTGCAGCGGGCAGGACTGGTCCTGGACCGGTGATCGAGGATTCAGTCCGCATGGCCCTGCAGCCCTCCGCATCCGTGTGGCCCGGCACCAGACCTCTCCTTCCCTCCGAGCGGGACAGGATCTCTTGCCGATGCTGGATAGATATTATGCCAATGCGGCACAGGTCGTCACATTGGCTAACAACATGACTTTCATCACGGGGGCCCTGGATAGGTCGCTCTCCTCTGGCCAGGCGCTCAGTGGAGACCTCCTGTCACAGGCGAGGACCACCTCGGCGGCGATCCTGCGCATGTGCCAGACGCTAGCCGTGGAGGGTGGCCCGGACACCGAGGATTCAGTCCGCATGGCCCTGCAGCCCTCCGCATCCGTGTGGCCCGGCACCAGACCTCTCCTTCCCTCCGAGCGGGACAGGACGTCTCGCTCGGTGATTACCCAGGGTAGGAGGCAAGGGTCATTCATCCGTTGCGAGTGTTTTATCCTAGCCATCAAAACACTCTTGTCGTTGATGATAGCATGTCTCACCTCCTGCACCCAACCACACACCAGGTAATTGAACGATTCCATCGTCTTCATTGCCTTCAGTTCCTTCAGGGTGTACGGACTTCGTGTGTGTAGGCAGTAATTCACAATGTCTGCGTATGTTACCGCAGGCCAGGAGTCCATTTCTGGTGAAGTCCACTGGTCTCGCCGCATTTCGTATGGATCCAAATCTCCGATCACTCTCAATTTCTCCAAATATCTTTCCTTAGAAATTACGTCCAGTGTATCACTATACTTCACGCGGTCAGAGTCGGCCGATTTCGTGGCTTTAGAAGACATTGTGAGAATGATCCGTGGCAAATGAACTGTGAGAAATGATCCGTGCTATATAATCTAGACAGACAACATGGCGGCCGCGCAAAGCATCATGGGTAATAAACACGTGATCGAAAACCATTTATAGAATCTTTTTTTCCGTATCCAGATTCCTACACTTGAAAAAATCACAACCAGACTCGTGCACTTATTGTAATTAATTTCAAGGAATCATATATTCGTTCTACGTCATGGTGCTACGTCCCTTAGGACTTCGCTAGTGGGATATCACTCGTGACCCCCAGGTCACACGCCAGAGAGATCAAAATAATTTGCTCCAATCACCAGCCACCCTCCTCTATAAATGCCCCTGCACAAGGCCGCACCCCCTCTTTCCCTCTGGCGCCGTTTGAGATCTACCACAGTACTTACTTCATTCTGAGATGTCTTCCTTGTTTGTCCGAGTTCCCTTCGCCCTCCGGCGTCGGACGTCGTCGCTGGATCCAGACGGTGGAGGACTTCACCTCTGTGGGTCCCACCACTCGAGGAAGGAGGAGGATGCAACCCACGTTGTGCCCGCGGATGGACCCGTTCGTCCATTACGCGACACGTGAGTGGCCTAAGCCCCTAGCAGCCAAGAGGCCTGCTCTGGGGTACGACATATACTGCAGCGGGCAGGACTGGTCCTGGACCGGTGATCGAGGATTCAGTCCGCATGGCCCTGCAGCCCTCCGCATCCGTGTGGCCCGGCACCAGACCTCTCCTTCCCTCCGAGCGGGACAGGATCTCTTGCCGATGCTGGATAGATATTATGCCAATGCGGCACAGGTCGTCACATTGGCTAACAACATGACTTTCATCACGGGGGCCCTGGATAGGTCGCTCTCCTCTGGCCAGGCGCTCAGTGGAGACCTCCTGTCACAGGCGAGGACCACCTCGGCGGCGATCCTGCGCATGTGCCAGACGCTAGCCGTGGAGGGTGGCCCGGACACCGAGGATTCAGTCCGCATGGCCCTGCAGCCCTCCGCATCCGTGTGGCCCGGCACCAGACCTCTCCTTCCCTCCGAGCGGGACAGGACGTCTCGCTCGGTGATTACCCAGGGTAGGAGGCAAGGGTCATTCATCCGTTGCGAGTGTTTTATCCTAGCCATCAAAACACTCTTGTCGTTGATGATAGCATGTCTCACCTCCTGCACCCAACCACACACCAGGTAATTGAACGATTCCATCGTCTTCATTGCCTTCAGTTCCTTCAGGGTGTACGGACTTCGTGTGTGTAGGCAGTAATTCACAATGTCTGCGTATGTTACCGCAGGCCAGGAGTCCATTTCTGGTGAAGTCCACTGGTCTCGCCGCATTTCGTATGGATCCAAATCTCCGATCACTCTCAATTTCTCCAAATATCTTTCCTTAGAAATTACGTCCAGTGTATCACTATACTTCACGCGGTCAGAGTCGGCCGATTTCGTGGCTTTAGAAGACATTGTGAGAATGATCCGTGGCAAATGAACTGTGAGAAATGATCCGTGCTATATAATCTAGACAGACAACATGGCGGCCGCGCAAAGCATCATGGGTAATAAACACGTGATCGAAAACCATTTATAGAATCTTTTTTTCCGTATCCAGATTCCTACACTTGAAAAAATCACAACCAGACTCGTGCACTTATTGTAATTAATTTCAAGGAATCATATATTCGTTCTACGTCATGGTGCTACGTCCCTTAGGACTTCGCTAGTGGGATATCACTCGTGACCCCCAGGTCACACGCCAGAGAGATCAAAATAATTTGCTCCAATCACCAGCCACCCTCCTCTATAAATGCCCCTGCACAAGGCCGCACCCCCTCTTTCCCTCTGGCGCCGTTTGAGATCTACCACAGTACTTACTTCATTCTGAGATGTCTTCCTTGTTTGTCCGAGTTCCCTTCGCCCTCCGGCGTCGGACGTCGTCGCTGGATCCAGACGGTGGAGGACTTCACCTCTGTGGGTCCCACCACTCGAGGAAGGAGGAGGATGCAACCCACGTTGTGCCCGCGGATGGACCCGTTCGTCCATTACGCGACACGTGAGTGGCCTAAGCCCCTAGCAGCCAAGAGGCCTGCTCTGGGGTACGACATATACTGCAGCGGGCAGGACTGGTCCTGGACCGGTGATCGAGGATTCAGTCCGCATGGCCCTGCAGCCCTCCGCATCCGTGTGGCCCGGCACCAGACCTCTCCTTCCCTCCGAGCGGGACAGGATCTCTTGCCGATGCTGGATAGATATTATGCCAATGCGGCACAGGTCGTCACATTGGCTAACAACATGACTTTCATCACGGGGGCCCTGGATAGGTCGCTCTCCTCTGGCCAGGCGCTCAGTGGAGACCTCCTGTCACAGGCGAGGACCACCTCGGCGGCGATCCTGCGCATGTGCCAGACGCTAGCCGTGGAGGGTGGCCCGGACACCGAGGATTCAGTCCGCATGGCCCTGCAGCCCTCCGCATCCGTGTGGCCCGGCACCAGACCTCTCCTTCCCTCCGAGCGGGACAGGACGTCTTTGGCTATGCTGGACAGATGTTACGCCAATGCGGCACAGGTCGTCGCTGTGGCGAATAACATGGCCTTCATCACGGGGGCCCTGGATAGGTCGCTCTCTTCTGGCCAGGCGCTCAGTGGAGACACCTTATCACAGGCGAGGAACACTTCAGCGGCGATCCTGCGCATGTGCCAGGCGCTAGCTGTCGATGGCGGCCACTCCATGGCAGCAGCTCAAGTCGGGGCCAGGCACCTTTGGCTTGGGCTTGCTAACATCAGAGAGGCGGAGAAGAGGTAGCTGCTGGACCTGCCTGTTTCTCAGACGTCCCTCTTCGGTCCGGACATGCAGACCCTGGTGGCTAGACAGGAGACCGCAGCCAAGGACTCGGCTAGCCTAGCCCAGCACCTAGCGCCGAGGCGCGAGGCCCGCCCACCAGCGCGGAGCCGGGACAGAGGCAGGGAGCGTTCGCCCGGGAGGCGCCCTGACCCATATCCACGCTCCGTGGCCTATCGTCCCCCCTCGACGAGGCCCCCGGGTCCAGACAGACCCACGGGAGGCTCGCGGGACCAACGCACCCACCGACGACCTCCCTATGGCAGAGGAGGTCGGGGTGGGAAGAATTCTTTCAATAAAGACCGCTGTCTGAGTCTCATTTGGGGGTATGTAACATGTCAAATAATCTTGTGAATTCTGATTGTGTTACTTCTCGAGCACATAACGTTGCTTCGCTAGGCCTGCAGCCCCCAGAGCAGGGTTTGCAGTGCGCTACGCGAGCTACGAGCAGAAAACATTGCGCAGGGGTTACGCACTGCAATTCTTCCGAAAGCCACCACCATTCCGAGGCGTACGGGCAGTACGCTCTCAGGTACGGGGATCAGTAGAGGCACTGCAAGCGGAGGTCTCCTCTCTGCTGAGTCGAGGCGCGGCAGTGGAGGTAGACCCGCAGGACGCCACCAGGGGGCTGTACTCCCCTTACTTCTTAGTGCCAAAGAAGTCAGGCGGGGTGCGTCCCATTTTGGATCTGCGCGTGTTGAACGAGTGCATTTCCAAACGGCAGTTTCGGATGCTGCCCACAAAGCAGCTCCTCGAGTGTGTCAGGCAGGGAGATTGGAGGTCCTCCATAGACCTGACAGATGCGTACTTCCACGTGCCGATAGTGCCGGAACACAGGAGGTTCTGCGCTTCGCAGTGGGAGAGAGGAATTACAAGTACTGCCGTCTCCCCTTCGGCTACGCACTCGCGCCTCGGGCTTTTTCCAAATGCGTGGAGGCAGCACTGGAGCCGCTCAGAAGCGCAGGGGTAAGAATTTTAACCTACATAGACGACTGGTTAATTCTGGCCTCATCCAGGGAAGTGGCCGTGAGCCACACGCACTGGGTCCTGTCCCACATACAGCGTCTGGGCTTTGTGGTGAAGAGGGAGAAAAGCAAGCTGCAGCCAGCTCAACGCATGATTTATCTCGGTCTGCAGTTAGACTCTGTGACATTCCGTGCTGCATTGTCCGTGGACAGACGGATGAACATTATCCGTCTGGCCAGGGAGGTTCTGGCGGGCCCCAGAGTCCCCGCTTCGCGTCGCTCGAAGGATGGGGCGGGGTCCTCGGCCAGAGCTCTGTAGGAGGCTGCTGGTCGGACTCAGCCCGTCACATCAACCTGCTGGAGATGGAGGCAGTGCACAGGGTACTGCTGCACTTTGCTCCTCAGCTGCAGGGGAGACACGTGATGGTGCGCTCAGACAACACCACAGTGGTCTCCTATCTGAACAGGCAGGGGGGCACCAGGTCCCCCGCTCTCCATCGCATGGCGACGGTGACGCTGCTGTGGGCGGCGCTTCACCTCCTGTCTCTCAGGGCGCGCCACGTCCCGGGGGTCCGGAACGTGGGGGCCGACAGGATGTCCATGGGGGGCCCACTCCAGGACGAGTGGGGCCTGGCCCCACGGGTAGCTGCGGAGATCTGGCGGAGGTTCGGCCGTCCAGTGGTCGACCTTTTCGCCAGTGCAGAAAACGCACAGTGCCCGTCCTGGTTCGCCTTAAGGGCCGCGGACGAGCCGCCCTTAGGCGTGGACGCTCTGGCTCATTACCCCTGGCCAGGGGGCCTGCTGTACGCTTTCCCACCAGTGCGTCTCCTGCCGGTCCTGCTGCGGAGGATCGAACAGGAGAGGAGGTCGGTGATCCTGGTGGCTCCGGACAGTCCGCATGCCCGGTGGTTCCCCTTCCTGAGGGGCATGGCGGTGATGGAGCCCTGGGCCCTCCCGGACGAGCCGGGGGCTCTAGTCCAGGGGGGAGGAGCCCTGTTTTCACGCCCGATAATCGGCCGCAGGCTCTGGGTTTGGAGGCTGAGAGGCGGAACCTCGTAGACCTGGGTCTTCCCCCTGAGGTGGTGGAGACCACTCAGGGGGCGAGGGCGCCGTCCACTGTGAGGGCCTACGCCACGAGGTGGAGGCTCTTCAGCGACTGGTGCGGTTTCCGTTCCTGGGATCCCAGGCGTTGCCCGCTGGAGGGGGTCCTGGGATTCCTACAGGAGCTCTTTGACAAGGAGAGGGCTGTCGCCACCTTGGCGGTGTTCGCGGCAGCAATTACTTCGGGTCACGACGGATTCGGGGGGTTCACAGCCCACTCTCATCCGTTGGTTAAACGTTTTCTGCGGGGGGCGCGCAGGAGGAGGTCCCCGCTCCAGAGAATGCCCCCGGTTTGGGACCTCAGGGTGGTCCTTAGGGGGCTGTCGGGTCCGCCTTTTGAACCGGCGGCGGAGGCAAGTCCCGAGTGTGTCGCTTTAAGACGGTCCTCTTGTTGGCGTTGGCGTCTGCTAAGAGCGCGGGCGACTTGTGTGCGCTCTCTGTCCATGCGTCTTGCCTGTCCTTTGGAGAGGGCGACGGCATGGTGGAATTGTGGCCCAATCCGGCTTTTCTCCCCAAGGTCATCACGTCGGCCTTTAGGTCGAGAGTCATCAGGATTAGGGCTTTCTATCCGCCACCGCATGCCTCCCCCGAGGAGGAGCGGCGGCACCTTCTGTGTCCTGTCAGAATGCTGAGGCATTACCTGGCCATGACGTCGTCATTCAGGTTGGGTGGTCAGTTGTTTGTGTGTCTGGGCCCCAAGAACAGGGGCGCCCCGCTGTCGGCTCAGCGGCTGGCGCACTGGGTCGCCACGGCTGTGCGGCGGGCGTATCAGACGCAGGGTCTGGCCCTCCCGGTGGGCTTCAGGTCGCATTCCACGCGTGGGATGGCGGCCTCTACGGCCCTTCTCAGGGGGGCGTCGGTCGAGGACGTCTGCCGTGCGGTTTCTTGGGCGTCGTCCTCCACTTTCGTCCGGTCTTATCTTTTGGATGTGTCGGACCGGTCGGTGGCCCATTCCGTGCTGAGTGCAGCGGACTGAGTTAGACCGTTAGGTCCCTCCTCTGAGGGGGCCTTCGGTTTACTTTCCGCCTTGGTTCAGGAGCTCTTGGGAGAGGCATCCTACAGGTGCGGTACATCTATGTGTGTTTGGTCGGTCAGGTAGTCCACGTCAGGAGCCCTTGGGAGAGGCGTCCTGTGACTACGGATGACCTACATCTATGTTACGTGGGGGTATCCTTGGTAGGAGTGGCCCTGTAACACGCATTGTTTCTTCTGCCCTGAGTCCTCTCACTGTGTGAGGGTCTTGCTCGGGCGGAGCTCCAATCACCCTTCGCTGGCCTGCTGGGAGTACATGTTCCTACGGCCTCCGCGTTGTGTCCCACTAGCGAAGTCCTAAGGGACGTAGCACCATGACGTAGAATTAATAGTTACCTAATGTAACTTAAGTTCTACGAATAGGTGCGTAGTCCCTTAGCTACGAGCCCATCAGGCCAGCCCGGCTTGGCAGAGTTCAAGAGGGGGTGCGGCCTTGTGCAGGGGCATTTATAGAGGAGGGTGGCTGGTGATTGGAACAAATTATTTTGATCTCTCTGGCGTGTGACCTGGGGGTCACGAGTGATATCCCACTAGCGAAGTCCTAAGGGACTACGCACCTATTCGTAGAACTTAAGTTACATTAGGTAACTATTAATTGTGTAGCGTCATAATGTGTCCACAAGAGGGAAACAAAACCTAAAACAAAAGCGTGGGCGGCACGGTGGCTGAGTGGATAGCACTCTCGCCTCTCAGCAAGAAGGTCCTGGGTTCAAATCCCGGTCGGACCAGGGTCTTTCTGAGTGGAGTTTGCATGTTCTCCCCGTGTCTGCGTAGGTTTCCTCCAGGTTTCCCCTACCACTAAAAATATGTCCAATAGTTCTGGCATGTGCCTCCTGTACTGGTGACCCCGCTCCCATCTCTGTGTGGAGTGAGAGACAAGTGCCCATAATTAACAATTGTAAACCGCTTTGAGACTCAGATCTGCAGTGAAAAGGCGGTATATAAATAATGACTACTACTACCTAAAAGGTTTACTCAAGAACTTTGCTTGGCCAGCCATTTTCATTACCTTGCCTGGGAATCCAAATGATGCAGTGTGCACTAAAGTAATGTTGATCTACGTGCATTAATGTACAGTACACATAGGATATTTAGTCTGGAGTTATCCAAGAAAACCAAGTCATTTCTGTACTGAATGGACACAGATGCCCATGTAGAGCCACCACCACAGAAGGCTTGCCTGGTTGTAGCAGCGGCTGGTGTATGGCCCTCTTTAACATTGTTGACTGGTGGTCATTATTTTTGCTCAGCATTTTTGCTCAGAGAACAGCACAGAGGCCCTTTGTCCCGGACGTGGACAAGTCAAACTCCTGTTGTGATGTTTTTCACTCATTTTCCCTGATTAGGAACAGCAGTTGTAGAAAACAAAATCTGAAACTTTGAACTGTTGGACACTGTTTTCATTCAAATGATAGATAAAGTCACATTAAATGTAAATGGGAGTATGTTCCCGAATTTTAAGAAAGAAACGCCCTCTCCAGAGGGATCCTACTAAAACACTGACAATTAGGAGGACCATGAAAATCCTCCTATATACTGTTATCTTTGAAGTAGCTATATTGCATGCCAAGTTATCATCATTGGCCATTTACTATAAAAGGCAACAAATATTGCGAATATGGTTTATGATTACAAAAATGATTCTCGGGGAGAATCCTCGGACCCCTGTCAACAGGTGTTTGTAGTCTCAGGCCCAAGTAAATGTCCCCACAAAGTCTGGACCCAAACCTACGCCAATGCCACAATGTATCGACTGCTATTCAGAAACTGAAATGATTAAATTTGTCCACTAAATGTTAGCGTTACAAGCTAGTCTGAGCTAGTTCAGAGGCTTTGAATCATTTGCAACAGTTTGACAAGGAAAGACTCAGTGTGTTACGGGGCTTCATCTTCCCATCACTACTGTCCAGCAATGGATGTGCATCACATGCATAGGTTATTTCTTAACATGAGTTAGAGAAATTTTGCAGGGTAATGCCAACAATCTGTCCCAGCTAAATCTTGCTGAGTAACTTTACAATTATATTTGGGTAAGCAATATTTACAAAATGTAGAATATATATTTATAAACATAAACAGGGATGTTCATGTTAGTTGTACATTTGTTCCAACTTGAGTTAATAAATCTACGTTAAAATAGTGGTGTCCATGGCCTCAGGAAGTTGTTTCCCTGTTTAAAAAAAAAGCAAAGAATACATTTTTTAAAGTATTTTAATGTAGACAAGTATTGTAGTTGGGGGAAATACCATTTTGATTTACAAAAAGCTAAATGATGAACATACTCTGAGACTAATAAAAAGCTCACATAGATCTTTAAAGTGCATTGCAAAAACAGTTCAAAGAGAAAATAACACACCAAACAATGTGGTAGTTATGTAAAAATGAAAATAGAGTTATAGGCAAAACCAGTCACACCAAGAAATACATACTTGTATACAGAAACAGGGATAATGCAACAACGGCCAACAAAGAATCAGTCCATGTAATATTGTTTGTGCAGACATTGTAAAAAATAAATCTTAAAAAGTAGAACTGTTCATAAGAAACAAACAAAGTGAAGAAGGCACAGCCTTCATTATCCATGTATGAACATCTTTTAGCTGCCAGTGAAAACATGGACAGTTGCCAAGTACCATTTGAACCAAACGTACAAAAGACCTTGTCCATGATCGGCCCTTGCATTGCTATAAAGTTTGAAGACTCCGGCTTCAGTTACTATTTCTAGATTATTAAGTTATACATTGATGCCCCGAATATAAACAAATATTTACAGTAAGTAGTTAAAAAAACTGTTCCATTATGTTTGATATTTCTTGCTGCAAAGTTCTTTTGGAAAGTCCATTACAGAACCATATGATTATCCATACTGTAAAATCTGAACAACATTGCAGAAATCTTCTTCCTTCCTGGTCAATGTTGTCCTGGCTATACCCTGTGTCTATGAAGACATCAGAAATCATATGGACGGACCATCATGGCGGTGGACCGAAGCGAGTAACTCGGCCCTCTGAAATGGTGCCACTTGATTCCATTGAGTTTTCGGATGTTGTGGCCAATGGAGTAATAGATTCCGTTGAGGTTGGAGAATCCGCAGGCATCGAACCACCAACCTACAGGAAAACCACACAAAAGTGATGGTATGAACCTTGGATAGTGAGTTGAGTGGTCAGACTACCACTGAAGGAATAAGTGCAAGTTATGCAGCTTTAGCATTATGTTCTGGGTGTGTTTAGCTCAGCGGTTCTTAAAGTTGGGGGTCCCCACGGAGACACTCAGCTGAGAGATGGTTTCAAGATCATGTTCTCAAATTATGTTCCCTCTCAATTGAATTAAACAATTATCCATCTATACAAAATACAGAAAATGGGAAACTGGGTCAAACAACATAATAAATGACTCAAATGAACAACACTACAATACAGTTAGCTTATTTTGAAAAATTATTAATGCATTACTAAAATTGTACTCCGTATACAGTCTATAATTCAGCAGTGGGGATATTGCAAGTGTGGGCGAGAGAGGCTCTGTTGGTTGATCATTGGCTTTTGAGCCTGAAGATTGAGAGTGCGAGCCCACCACGAGAGCTTCTCCCCCGACTCCCACCAATGTCTGACAGAGCAGCCGTCCTCCTGTGGACTCACCACCTGCAGGAGGATCAGTGAGGGGCTGGAGCTCTGTGAATTGGGTGCAGCTCTCACTGCCACCCCCTGAACCAGAAATGGAATAAGGGGAAGAAAGTGCATGGAGGGATGGATATTGCAGATTGAAGGTCTGGAGCGCAAAGACTATTCAACTTCATATATTTGTTAATATAATCACTTTAGTTTTTACTTCAGTCTGAATAATATCTATATAATGAAAACAATATTGATAATGCATTTGTTTTGTATAGTTGAGAATAATTATGGCTATATGGAATCATAATACTTTTTGATTCTATGTTGACAACTGTGCTGGTTTTTGCACTACATCAGAGATGCTAACTCGACATTTAAACAGCTGTTGTTTTACTTCTGGTGACCTATATCTCAGTTGTTTTGGTCCATACATCATCCTCCATTTTTAAGTGTATTGTAAATAGCTGTGATTATAACTGACTGTCTGAGTAATGTTGGCCACTCCAGTACCTTCCCCGGGGAGTTTGACCATTTTTGTACCAGGACTATTACAGTAATCTGCATCAGAAATCATGTGGGGAGCTGTTTATCTTGGCTCTGACACAAGGTGAGGTCCAGTGCACGGCGGGGACAGACCCGGGTTAAGAGGAAAGCCACCAAACCACAGCTGCCGGTTATAATAAGGAAGAATTTCTGGACAACAAATGTAAACAAGGGATTGCAATTTTGAGATGGTTCACTTCTATTTGTAATACTGATGACAATATGAGACTAATATCTTACAGTCAACCAATAAAAGAACAATTTTGTATTTTAAATGCTATTCTATGTGTAAAGTCTTGCCACGTGCCGCTTTGAATGTAACCCATCCAAGCTTGACAATTACACTAAAACACAAAAATGGACCGTGTCTCATAGTCAATACAGGGCCGGGTACCTCCAGTGAGCATGAGTGCACATTTGCAGTGGTCACAGTTGTCATGGTCCTGGTCTCTGGTGCTGAAGCCCATCCCATGAGTGGCCAGGCTGCTCTGTCTGCCTGCTGTGCCGCTGTAGCCTCGCAGGTACAACCTAAAATCAACACCATATGATTACAAAATGTTATCGATAAGTTCAAAATATGATAATATGAGTGTATTAAAGTTTATTGTCAGCAAGTGTGCATGTTTTTGATTTCTGTCCACACAACCCTCATCAACAGGTTCTGAGAAGAAGACCTCAAGCGCTGGGCATGAGGCAGGCGGCGGTCTATGAAATTGTGTGCTATCTTTATTTTATGTCTTAAATAGAGAAGCTGCATGTCTCCACACACCAGATTCATAGTGAGGATATTCTCTGACCACAGCCCAGTAGCAGTAGCAGGACGTACCTTACCTCAGATGTTTGAATAAACCTGTCCTTAGTTAGCATAGCTTGGAAATTTGAAACATGAACAAAAAATATGATTTGGTTTTAGAGATTTCATGACACTTTGAAGCAACTGTGGTTAAAGTTAAGCTTGTCATTCTAACAATATACACAAGGCATTATTTATCCGCTACATGTTTTGGTTTTCCGAAGGCCAAACTACTGGCACTGTGGCGAACACTGATCGGATGGTCTCGATTCGGTCAGCACTAGATCATACACAGAATCAGAACGGAAGCGGAAGTAAATATAAACAACTACCTATTCAAACTTAACCAGCCATTCCCATAGAATAACTCCAACCCACTCTTGACCCTTACCTTAACCATCGTACTCAGACTTATTAGGCTAAAACTAAAAAGTAGGATTGTTTCCGCTTCCGTCCCGATTCCGTACATGATCTAGTTCCGACCGTCTCCGTTCCTCCATGCTGAATGATATCACTTGCATTCTGTAACATCTCTGTTTGTACTGTCTACCATTGACAATAAAACATATCTACTGTCTGAATTAAAGACAATCCCAGAATTTGTCATCTTCTTCATAGTCACAAAAACTTACTTTTGTAAAAAATTTGTAAACATTTGGACAATAGATGATTATGCCATTCCCATTTGCCATCAAACATGGGGGAGAAATAGAAAACTGGTTCATCCCAATAGTGGTAGAGTGGTTTGAACTGATTCAGGGCAATTCTACTTTTGTTTTTCCTCAAGCATCTTTTAGAAACCAAATCCTTTGAGTTCCCCATGCTTAGATTATGGCTGTACCTGTACTGCTGCCGCTCACTGGCCAATGTGAAGCGATCGTACTGGGAGTGGCCTGCGTTTCCCTCCCAGTCCTCCAGCTCCACTCTGAGGGAGTACTGACCCTGAGAGCTCAGCAGGTGCAGTGCCTCGTTCCCCAGCCAGTGCTCTCCGGACACATCGCCGAAGCCCTGCACATGCAGCATATATACGATACTTTACACATTTGAAGCTCCTTGTTTGACTTTGGTCTGTGAAACGTTAAATCAATAAAGCTTACTTACTTAAATTTTAGCTCAACGATTGTAATGGTTTAGTTTAATTTCTTGTTTTATTTTGTAATTTGTTACCCCTGTGTCTTCATAGTTGTACCTCCTGTTTCCCGATTACCTGCCCCGCCCTCATGTGTCTGACCTGTGTCTCGGTAGTCTTGCATTTAAACCCTGTGTGTTCCTTCACTCTCCGCTCTTCTTTGTCAATGCCATGTTTTTTTCGTTTCTTCTCGTCCCTCTTGAGGTTTCTTTTTGTTGTCTACTCTGGATTTTAGATTTCATTATTGGTTGCAGTTCTGCATTTTGGTTTCTGTTCTTTTTACTACATGACAACTATAGCCTTTTAAATCTATATAGTTTTAAATTAAAATTAAAACCCAAACAGTTTTTACACGTAACTTAGTTTGACATTATCGCCATTCCTGTTTCACATTTGTCCAAAACAAAGAGAAATAAACCATGTGGCCTGGTCCTTTAAAGAGTACCCAACCAGGGACCCAGATTATAAAAGAAAACTAAACTGAATCCGCTTTCTTTTTGTAGAAAAGGGAGTATTCAAATTGGAAGACTAAATGTCTTCCAATTTTTCTTTTTGTAGAAAAGGGAGTATTCAAATTGGAAGACTAAATGTATGTATTTAGGCCTTCACAAGGAAAAATGTTGAAGAATCTCATTTCTAATTCACCATTTTATATTCTCTCCAACTCCTCTGAAAGTCCACGCTGCCATTACTCCGCCGCTGGAACAGGGTCCAGCCCCCGCCAGCCGTGTCCATGTCACAGAACACCTGAGGAACCATGAAGTATGAATAGTAATTATATTAAATAAATAATATTGAGTCATGTTGTATGTGTCACCTGTAAAGGCCGTGTCCTGTTGCTGATGTAGATGAAGTACAGTCCGGAGCTAGAATGTCCTGCTCTGTAAACATCTGCACAGTCTCTCCACACCTGGCTCCTGACAGGGGGCGCTAGAGAGACACCAGCAGGAGCATTACAGACACTGTCAGGCCAAGATTATAGTGAATTTTTCAGTCAGACAATTTTATTTATGAACGAAGGACTATGTGTAAAACGTATTTTTTGGGGGGGGATTATTTCAGAATTCCATTTCTTGGGAGGCATCAGAATGACTGCTTTTGGAGTTCTAGTAGTTGGAGAATTCTGAGAGTCCTATAGTGTTAAAATGATCCAAACTAGAATGATTGAAATGGTCCGTCCGGCCTCTTACGTGCAGTGCTGACCATGTTGATCAGCGTGTGCACTGACTCCATCAGCTCGGCCTGTTGACTCTGCAGAGCTGAGTTGTTTGTGCTGGCGACAAGCAGCTGTTTCTCCAGAGCCTCGATCGCAGCCATCTGAGAGCGCACCACGGACTGTGAGAGGGACAAACAACACTTTTATTTACTATTTTCAGTTTATTCCATTTCAGTTATTTTCAGTTCAGTTAATTTCAGTTAATTTCAATTCAATTAATTTCAATTCAATGTATTCTTGTATAGCCCTGAATCACAACAATAGATATTTCGGAGGAGACTTTAAAAACCGTTGAATTGCCAGCGCAGATCAGCGAATCAATCAAGTTCAAGCACAAAAATGCACTGCAAAAACACATAGAGGTGTTGGTCCATTAGAGGCAGATGACCATGAACTATAACTATGGCTATGGGCGAGACAAACAATGTTCTTTCTTTTTCAACTACATCTACATCTTTTTATGTGTTCAACATGTCAACATGTAACAAATCATATTAGGCCTTTTCTGAAAAACAGGAATTATTCGCCCACTGAAGACTGCTGTTATTGTCTCCTTGGGCAAGACACTTAATCCAACTTTGCCTGAAGCCCCCACTGAAAGAATAAGGCTCCTGTGGACTCACCACCTGCAGGAGAATCAGTGAGGGCCTGGTGCTCTGTGAACTGGGTGTAGCTCTGATTGCATCCCCCCATCCCAGAAATGGATTAAGGGGAAAAAGATGGATGGATGGAATAATTCGTAATTGAATATGGACACAATATGCATAATATTCATGGTTAACATTTTCTATTAGGGAGAGGTCGTTTGGCTGGCCCTACTGCTAAAATGTAGGTCTCTGCTCTGACTTTCTTTTTATATACTGATGTATAACCATTGCTAGCTAAACACCAGCAGGAGGATTCCATCAGTAATGTGATATATATGTTAGATTCTGGCTATAAAAGTTTGATTGTAATTGTAAATACTTTGCTAGACCATTAATACCTTATAAGACATGTTTTATTGTTGTTTAGCGACCGGTGTTTTCAGAGAATTTGGATCATTGTCATTTGAATGTTTGTAATGACAATGTTTTGCATATAATTAAGAAAGATATGTCTGAAATCTGGCACAGGGTTTCGGAAAATTCATAAATCCTCACTTTGAGATTATGTGGATACCTTGACAGTAATCTTCAAAAGGCACAAGTGCTATTCCTGAAATTCAATTTGAAAGTTGTTGAGTAAACGCAGGCTCAGGTTATGTAACGATATTCTCACCTTTCCCACACATGCCATCACACATAAATATCCACTCACAACCTCATATGAGAAATGTTATTAAATGACAATGCACTGTTGTTATTTATTATTTTAATCCCTTTGGTGATTTTAATGTTTTAGTGCTTTTAATATCCTGATTTTAATTGTGTTTTTAATGGTGATTTTAGCGTTTGTTTTAAGTGATATGTGCCTTGTGTGGTGTTCAACTGAAGCGCTTTGTGCCCCGTGTAGGAAAAGTTCTTGAATGAATGAATATTGATTAAATGATTGATTGAGGACTTATTATTGACCTGGAGTCAGTGGCCCACAGTGGTCAGCGTAGTCAGTGTGAGTCAGGAGCACAAAGGAGGACGCAGAGGGAGGAGATATTTCCACTTTATTCAGATTAAGAATACCTGTAGTCTGTTCTTCTCCTGCCTTATTCCCTCCAGCTCTCCTCTCTGCTGGGACTCCAACAGCGCCACCTTGTTCTCCAGACGACTACAAACACACACAAGCACAATCTGTAATCCTGAATTATTATTACTTATTTAAACTCAGTTGCTCAGATTTAAGACATCACAGAGTTCTGTTTTTAGTATATTAATCATGACCAGACTTCTGCACATTCATTTCGTGCTCATTCGGCACGTTGTGGCCATGTGCCTGTGGTCCATACTCAAAGGATGTCATGTTTTCACTCAACAAAACTATCAAATCCCTTTTCAAAAATGATTTTAATGATACTTTCAGTAAATCTCTGGAATGGGATGAGGAGCAAATGATTTGACTCTGATGATGATGATTTGATCTGGATCACCATCTGGATCCAGAAATTGTTTTCAGGAATAGAACAACACCTCTGGGCGAAAGTCAGATCTATGAGTGATTTTCTAGTTCTTTGTGTGTCGATATCGAATGTGCACATGTTGCAGACACTTCTACAACAAAATATATCAACAGGAGTCAAAACATTTAATGCCAAATTATAGGATTAATAGTAAAGTGTCTTTTGATGCACTTCAATGCATTTCAATACAAAAGAATGAAACATGAGACCATTTTGATTTGGCAAGACTCAGGTGTTCCTGGTGAAAGGTTTTGGTGAATGACATGTGGTGTAATTAGTAACAATTGGTGATGAAGGTCTGTGCCCCAGGTCCATGCGGCCGCTCTCTGGCCTCACTGCAGGACACTGCACTGAGTTTGACCACAGGTCTTTAACCTGTCCCAACAGTTTCATCTGAAGACAATGTGCATCAGAGCTCACGGGGCAGGGAGTCATTACTCCATTCTCTATTTCAATAAGCATCTGATTGGTGCTGATAAATTTCAACTTTTAACAAGATTTCAAGATTGTTTGAAAAGAATTTCATAATTGAGTATATTTTGACTGTACTGGAAAATTATTCTCGCTTCAAATAAGTAAAGTAACTGACTAGATACATTAAGTACATCACACTGAAATAGACAGGTTTTCAGATCAACATAAAAGTGTTTTTGAACTGGATTAGGCACTCTTGTTTATTAGCTCAGTGTTGTACCTGTTCTTGTCCCTGAGCTGACTGATCTCCGTGGTCTGCAGTAACAATTCCTTTTCCAACTTGTTCGTGGACAGAGAATTCTCCAGGAGTTGTATTTCTATGCGCGATGTGTGGTTCATTACCTGGAAGAACAAAACATGGAAAGTGCATAACTGCAAAGACACAGAGAACTATCTGTAAATCTCTTTTTAAAAGCATGGTACCTTTGCTTCTACCACGTTCAGCTTCCTGGTCTGCTCAGCCGTGTGCGAGAGCAGGTTTGTGCCAATTTCCAGCATGGCTGCAGTCTGGTTATGGACGGAGTGGGACTGAAGGTTTGAGGTGTCAGGTTTCAAACTGTTCTGGATGACGTTTTCTAACTGTGGAAGAGAAAAACAGATTGGGAAATATTTAAAAGGTGAAAAATGTCAAATATATTGTCGCCATTAAAGGTGAAGGTGCACTTTATTGTCCCCGTAGGGAAATTTGTCATCTGCATTTGACCCATCCTTCAATATTTCTAGGGCCGCTTTCCGGGTCAGTGTTTGCTACAGTGCAGTGCCCGGGAATCTGATTGATGCTTGGCTTGATCAGTACTATCTGATCAAGCTGAAGCAGGAGCATTTTGCATATAATGCTACGTGCATTATATGCAAAATGCTCCTGCTTCAGCTTGATCAGATAGACCTGTAGAAGGAACAGAATCAGAGGGAACCTGTGCAGACACGGGGAGAACATACAAGCTCCACTTTGAAAGGGACTGTTGAGTTTTGGCCTGTTCTGGTTCAGTACCATCATGCTGAGAAGCGAGAGTGTTAACCACTCTGCAATAATGCTGCCCAGATAACCCATTTTGCAAAAATGCAGCCAGCAGAAATTTAGCAGTGACTACCTGCTGCAGTCTGCTCTATCCAAGCCGGCCCCTTTCACCCTCAGCCTATCACACAGTGCTACCAACCTAAGCCAAATAAGCCGGCAGTTTAAGGCGGACAACATCCCAACAACTCCCGCTTTCGAGCAGACACTCTCATCACAACTTCACCACCATCAGTAACTAGGCCCTGGGGGATCATGAGCGTCTTCTCATTAACACATGTTTTTAGAGGGATTCATTCATGTTGTCAGACTCTGGCCTGTCTGGACACTGCCAATGTACACACCTGTTCCAAGCTCACTGTGGCGTTATAATCTGTGATACATGATCTTCTGCACTTCACACCTGCAGCTTGCTAACCCAATCTGAGGTCTGGACCATGACCAGTGACTAGAATAGAATACAAATCTATACGGTAGATTTGACCTAAAAAATACCCATTTCGTCATAGTTTATTGTATTAATTACATTATATCCGCATTGATGTTTCATTATGCCAATTACAGTAAATAAATCATTGTCATTGTGATTATACCGCAAATATAGAGCAGACGATAACAATTTGTATCGGCCAATGACAAGAGTACAATTTGTAGTAGTAGAGCCGATCGAAAATAAATAATCCATTTGGAATTGAATTGTGAACGCTTTTTGTGCGCTGTCAGCCAAATATGAACATTTAGATTTAGTTCTATGGGAGAAATCTTCCTCCAGAGGCTGCAGCCGTGACCCTCTTACCCTCTCACTTAAAGCCCGTTCCCTAATCACATCTTACATAAAACCGCTTCCATCTCTGGGAACAGCGACTGGTGCCAACCCACTGTGCCACCTCACGGCCCTGTGCTCGGACACATAAATAATCCCAGCGTCTTTTTGTTCCCTCAGAGCTCCCGTACCCACGATATCAGTGCCACGGAACAGCCCAAATATATCTGCACCAACAAACAACGCGGCCCGGAGGGACAGCATCTGTGCTAGAGTCAAATCGATGGGTACCCTAAGAAAAAACATGGGGTCGATGGGACAAGCAGTCACTAAGAGTTCAACAACACACATGGTAAAGGAGAATTATTATGCTGGGGGATATCAGTATTAAACCTTAAATAGATTATTCTTATTAGTGTTTCACATTTAGTCTGCAACAAGCAACTTCAAATTGTGTTACTGTCAAGGGTTGATCCATAATGTATTTTTCAAAACCAAGATAAAACAATTTATATTCACGAAGACAAAGTGGGAGGAATCATTATATGTGCTGTGGACTAATAAGTGTAACTCTATAATATATAAATGAAGGCTTTTCAAATTTCAAAATTCATATGTGACTCTGCAAAAAGGAACATATGTTAACAGACAATGCAAATGGTCTTGGTGACAACAATATGCACTGAACAATTAAGTTATTTAACTTGAGTTTAATTGAGCCATTACACTTTATGATTACAACCCCAACGACAACTATATGTGATCACATGTTTGTAAAAGACAGACGTAAAAGTCACTCCATCAGAATGTTTTAAAGCAGATAAAAAGTCAGTTTTAGGGCCGCATTTGGTTCCCAGGCCATAGTTTGGACATTACTAAATAAACCCAGGAGTTAACAATGATTTACATAAGTTTACCATGATCAATCAGAGAATACAAACTAAAAACAAAACCATCATTTCCTGACTTTATGTTTGCTGAATTCTACGCCACAAACAAACTGCATAGAGATGTTTAGTATGAACAACACAGGAAAATATAGTATCTGATCCAGGTTCGACAGCCCGGAGAAGCAAGGTTATATTTGACAAAAACCCAGCTTTACACGTAATTGATAAAACATATGAACATGGACAGGAACAGTAAAAACATACATCTTTTCCACATATCCTTCTACATCAAATGCCAAAAAACAGGTACCAAAGACCATGTTATATAACACCAAGATAATGCATATTTTTTGACTGTTCACTTCCTGTTCAAAAGTTTATATAACTATGCATGCAAGAAATACAACTCTGAGTAATAAAGTAAGCCAGGACTTGTAATAACTTTATCAATTAGTCAATGGACACAGACAGAAATCTCCCCCGTGTGACTGACACAGCACTATTTTAAGTTTGGGCAGAGGAACTAGAGCTACGGCGAACAAAGAAAACACGGCTTCTTGATGAAAACCATTTATCTTCCTCTCCGTACTCAACAACAATGACAAAAAATAATAATTAAATCCTTTTAAAGATCCATTACATGTTCTTTTTGTGTTGGGCATATATCATGAGTCCCAAGCCGGAGGTTTTATGTATGTTTTTAACTTTCAGCAAATCAGACAAATATGTCAAGTGAAATTACCTACTGCCAAGACTTATGTGCTGCTACTTGTATGAAAAATAAATAAAAATACAACATTATCAAAACCATTATTCAAATTCAATCCAGTCTGAAATCAGTCTATCCCGAGTGTGATCTGAGTTGAACTGAGGTCCTACGTGTTCACTGCCCCACGTTTAACTCAAACCACATGGCCCTCATTTGACTCCAGTTTGGGCAGGGGGCTGGGGGGGCTGGGGGCTGACGCACTGCAATACACATCTGAGGTAACAAGTGCATTGTGTTGTGGATCAGCCGCGTGCGCCCTGATTTGATGGGACAGAGGAGCCGAACGGGACCAGTGTTGGCTTTTGGTGCGTGACAGTCAGGAAGTGAAGGGGACTTGTGGAAGGAGGGGTCCACCAGAGTCCTATAGAGACCTCATGTAGGACTAATTAGTGCTGGGCTAAGCTGAAGAGATGTGATTATATGTGAATGAGTTTTGGACTAGTGCTGCAGGATTAGTTTGCTATTGAAATCGCAATTTTCATAGTCGCAATCAGTATTAATTAATTGCAAACCAAAAAGGAACAAAAGGTAAAACCTCCCATGAATTTGAGAAAGACTCTTTTATTGGCAGGTATCCACATTTCCATCAAATCCTACATGTAGGACATAGTATTGACTTGTGCTGTATGCTTAAAGAGTTGAATTGTTAAAAAAAAAAAAAAAAAATCTTTCTTAACTTTCTTGCTTTCACTTGACTGTTGTCTGTTGCTTTATTTGTTTAAGTATGTAAGTCTTAAGATGAAAAAGTGCAGAAGATTAAGCAGTGAAAATACTTTTGTAAAGGCATTGTAAAAATGAAAGTGTATCTGGTGATTCTAGTTGTTATAATCAATACGATAAGATCTCATTGCGCTGTGATTCACATTTCAAAGTGGAATTTACATGGAAAAGTTGTTCATATATTGCACCATCAGTACCTGTTTTTTGAGCAGAATGAAAATGACTTTGTGAACGGGTTTGCTGTTGAGCTCAGCAGCCCCTTGCAAAACCTTCCACAGTCTAACCTTGACACCGTGAGTATTTTCAGTTGCAATAATAATGTCACATAAGAGGCTATTTGCTTTTTCTGATACCTGAAAGCGCCTCTGAAGCAGCAGATGTTTTGGCTGAAAGTCAAGTGCAGCTGGACCATCAGAACAAGTCAACAGCCTCCAGCTACACCTCTACTATCCAACACCAGAATAGTCTCTTCTGCTCCATAAAGGATTGAGTATATGGTTAAATGTGTAGGGAAACATGTTGATAATTCTATTCATATTTGTATCAGTCAAAGTGCACGTAAGAACCACTCTGTTTACATAAAGCTACATTATTGTTTTGTCACAATATTAGTCAAAGGGAAATGATTATTTGACAGTAGATCAAGAAGAAAAATATTAATAGCCAGTAACATTATCTTAAAGGTATATAAGAGGATTGTCTACTTCCGGGTGAAACACTGTTAGGATTAGATAGCGATTTGGCCTACGTGCAAGACTCTACAAGGACTCTGATGCATTCATGTTTTGACTTTGATATACTCGTGACTGTCTCTGGATTTGACACGTATGTCTTTCGATGTGTGACGTGACAATGACTATATAAATTGTGTACTGCCTTTATTCTGTCTGAGAGAAAGAAACAATTGAAAGCACTGGAACTTGAGAGAAACTTAAATAAACTTCCAGAGTTTGGCGCACCACGATCCGTCTCTGTCTGGTTCATTCTTGACAACACCAAAACTATTGTTCCTCCCAATTGTCAATCATTCATCAAATAAAATAAAGCTATAGTAAAAACAGAACAAATATAACAGTGCAACACCTCTTAGTTGCCAAAGTAAAAAGATGATTTTTTTATAATGATTTAAACACATTCAAACAAGCTGCGCTTTGAATAGACAAGGGGAGGCTGTTCCAGAGTTTAGGAGCAGCTACAGAGAAGGCCTGGTCCCCTCTCGTTTTCAGCCGTGTTTTGGGTGCTCTAAGCAGAAGCTGACCACTGAGAATAAAAGTCCAAGAAATGATGTAATTAGATAAATAAAATGAAACCAAGTGAACTTCACTGGTCTATATTTTCACC